GGGGGGGGGGGGGGGGGGGGGGCTAGAATCCAACACGTACAAGCAGAACTACAAAACCGAAGCCAGATGTTAACTGTGCTTTTGTTTTTCTCTGCCATAAAAATCTAATTTTTTTACTTGACTTCCTAGATTTATTTTGATTTGTAAAGACAGGGAGCATCTTAACAGGAATTTCTATTTGAGTGTCCAAAATGTCCTTTCAATAACATAAATTTAATTTGATTTAAAGGGCAATTCTCTTAGCTCTTTTCTCCAACCATTTATGGTTGTTAAATTTCCTTCAAAAATCACATTTATTGTTATTGTTACGCTTCCTTCAAAAGGTTTTATTTATTGTTAAGTTTCCTTCAAAATCACTTGAAGTATTCAAGAGATAGATTCAAGAGATGAGCTTTAAATTAACTGAAATGACAACAGGAGAGGGACTGATCTTTAAAACAACAGTGCTATACCTTGCATAGGAGTATAAACAGCAGAGGTTAGCATTTGAAAAATAAATTGCAAGACAGGCTAACACACATATATATATCCAGGAAGGTGAATGGGAAAGCAGCTTGGAGTCACTAGCCAGTCATATTTACATCTTCCTAAACTTAAATAACTCACTGATTTATGACATGGCCTTTTAAAAACTGCACAAGAAACCATGTTTCAGGAAATTTACATGCAACAGCTTACCTGCCTTCTGACATACAGACAAAATCAGATACTTAAGAACCATTAGCAAACACAACCTTCATTCCCTCTGCCCCAAAACAGCCCTGTAATTCAGACTGTGCAAGCCACAGTCTTTCAAAAATGCAGGCAGCTTATATAATTTTTTATGGCTAATAAATACGAGTCAGGATGTAAGTCCAGTAAGAAAATAGTTCAAGACTTATGTTTTACTTACCTCTGCTGTCATTTTGGCAAACTTGTCAGGAGGAATGTTCCCACATAACACATTTTTCCTTAGATTAGGATTCTTTGCATCCTTGAGATTTGCTATTCTACTTCGTACCCTATTTTTGTATTTCATATCAGTGTTTTTTAATTCTTGAAAAATAGGTGCTTTGGATTTAAGGAACAAAACATTAACAAGTGAAACAGAGCACTCTAAAGGATTAATTTTTGGGGTGACTCTTCCAAAACAATGTACTTCACTGTTGATCAAGTTCAACCCCCCAACCCCAACCAACAGTTACTTTCCTGTTCAACACAGCAGACTTCACATCCTTCTGAAGCCTAATCATAGCTCAGCACACGGTCAGTGAAATGCAAATTTTTGGGTAGTAGGATCTCAATTGAAATTGTAAAAAGTCACCCATAAATTTATGTCTAGTTCCTTAACCTCATCTTGATTAACTGATTTCTAAACCAATATTCAAACACTGGCAGCTCACTGACAGAATTTTAAAACAGACTTGCAAGAGAAACAGGAAAATCCTGAACAGGAATTATGGCTGACTAATTACCAAAGGACATTACAAGTTAGAATCATGAAGCTTAGACTACTTCTTTCTTTAATAGCCCCCCACCAGCTAAAATAAAAAGCCCTGACCTCCACTTTGTAATTATGCAAACAATGCTACCAGAACAACTCTTTTGAAAACTACAAATTCATTTAGAAATAAACTTGCAGAAAATAAAGACATTAAAAAAGGATTAAAACTGTTAACAAGAAGAGATTTAAAAATAACACAGAAGAGCCCAGCATTTTATGTCAGAATGCTGCAGTAAGATACAAGATTGCTGCTGCAAGGAAAACATACCGAACAGAACAAACCCACACACACTCACCTACACATTCCTACATGTTTTAAAGCAAATCATTTAGGTTATGTTGTTTTAAACACTAAATTTCTACACCGATGTGTTGAACAGTTTGCTAATTTGTTTAAATGAAATTAAAATTATTCAATACATAGATCAAGTTAATCAAACATTATCAATGCTTTTAAAAAACACTCATTCTAGAGCACATATATGTACAACAAAGGATATCTTCTTCAATCTGAGAACCCAACTCTTCTTCATCAGCACCAATGGCTATGTAATCATCTGAGGAAAATAAGCATTGAAATATTAGCAACCTGACAATCTTTGTGTTCTACATCCCTGAGAGCCCATTCAACTCTCCAAAAACTCAACAAATTACAGAACAACTACAGTGATTTTTCCCTTTTGTATAGGAAAGTTTAATTCACTGTCTTCTTCTCCTTTCATAACTTTATTACTGGGAAAAACAAAAATAAGTGAAGAGCAACAGAAGTTTAAAAAAATAGAACAACCCTAAATCTTTTACAAAACCAGAAATTCTTACCTTAGTTGCAAACAGAAATAGTGACAAAAAACTTTGATATAAGGAAAAATTTTAAAGATTCTAACAGGCATGGCAAATACTCATCTCCACAGCATATCTATGCATAGAACAGACTATTATGAAAACATTTTGTACTGTGTTTCATGAGTTCTCTCAGTCCACACAATACAAGCAAAACAATTAACATTTTGCATGCATGCAAGGATTTCCTTAGAAACATAGTAATTAAGCAACAGAAACAATATTATTAGATGTTTTTAAAAATGCAAATTCGAGATGTATCATAAAACATGTAAATTAGAATAAATAAATTATAGCAATCTAAGACAATGAAACACGACCTTTATAAAACGCCCAAGATAATTGTTTACTGTTTCTGACCAAAACCCTTACTCATAAAGACAGCTGCCTTTCTAAGATAGCTTAGGACAAATTAGATACAGTATGTTTTCCTCCTTCTCATTTAACATGGGTGTACTTCAGTGAGTAATCCAAATACCATTTCCCCTTCGATCTCATGCAGAAGGCCATAAAACCAGAAAACAACCTTATTTTTTGAGATTGGCATTCAACCCATGGATGATCAGTTTATATGTGCTGTAGAAAGTAACACAGCAAAAAAAGCCCCTGGAAAACTAACTACAAAATATGTATCCAATGACCACCAACTCGTAGTCTTTAGTCAGCTTTGACTACTGTCTGTATCTGAATTTATGTGAATTAAAAGAAAGACTAAAAGAGAGAAGAGGCTAAAAACCGAATGATTCAGAAGTCTGCTTACACTGGGTCAGGTTGCACTAAGCTAAGAAAAGAGGAACAGGACCTGGGTCATAAGTTCTGGCAGAAGAGAAGGACCCACAAGAAAAAAATTCAGGTCATTCTGAGGAGTCTGACTTATAGTTTGCTCCTTATCTAGCCTGTCATTCAATTTATCACCGAAGTGTACATGAGGGGGAAAAAAGAAAAAACCCCAAACAGTCAACGAATTTACAGATGCCCAAGAGGCATGAAGATAGAGCATGCAAGACTCTTACTAGGATTATGTCAAGATTAAATCAAAACAGAAAGGCAGCCTTCAAAAACCAAAATCTGAAGTCCCAGAGGATCTGATGTAAAAAAGGGCAGGCATGTATACACTGGCACACTCAATAAGAGATAAGACAAGAAAACAGCTTCCAGAAAAATATTTAAATAAGGCATTAAGGAGGCAATAAGCTTCCTGAAAAGAAATTCCATTGCAGGCAATGTATCAGACAAACAGAAGCCACAAAATGTCCCATATCATCAGCAACAAAAAAAATGTATTTCAATACATTTCCATGCTGTCAAGGTTACTCATTACTTGCAACGTGGGTGAATTGGCTTATGGACATATACACACAAATGGACATAAACAGGGTTTATCCTACCCTATCGGGCAGGAGCGGGAAGGACTGAAATAGAGAAGAAGGAAATAGTTAAACTTGAAAATATAGGCTACAAAGCTCACCTCCCGTCCTGAGAGCTGCAGAGAGCATTTCTCTACATTTCACTCTTACAGAATCTGAAGTGCTTGGAGCCCGGGGAAAAGAAGGGATGAAAGAATTTGAGGAAGCACTACCCTCCTCCTTCCTGCTGCTGGAATTGCTGCTTGAACTGCTAAAAAAAGGCAAAAAGAAAACTAACATTAATGTTTTTTCTCCCTCTTCAAATAACTTTGTTCCAGGGCAAAACACAGGCTTTTTGCTATATTCCTTTGACGGTAATCCAAAAAAAAATAACACAGGCCACCTTTTTAAGACTAACTGAATTCACATAAATTTAAAAGTGTTTTTAGAATATTCACCAGGGTATTCCACACAATAGAGACACAGCTTGTATTTCATTCCATTACACTGCATATAAGTTTCAGTTCTCAATTCTCTACCTTAACATGTAGTCTTTTTTTTCCCCTCCCATGGAACTTTACAATAAGAAACAGTGAAGATACATCACACTAATATTCACTCTGCAGTGAATACATTGCATTGTCTGTTTACTGTACTGAAGTGGTACCATGGTCACAAACAATCAATGTAACTCTAGACCAAAAAGTTTTCAGCTTGCATCAGGACAAATGGTTACAGGTTAAATTTCAATTTGAAAATGGCTGCTGGAAACAGATTCATTAAAACCAGTAATGTACAGAAAAAATGGACTTGCAGTTACTATTTTGTACATATTTTTAGCTCCTTCAGTATCATTAATAAGCTCATTTTTTCTGAAAATATGTATCTTATTTACCAAAAGGAGTGCTGAATGAGATTGTTTATTAAACATAAAAGCTAACAGACAAAAATATCTTCTAAACCTCTAACACATGCAATTACCACAAAGCTGTGACAAAGTTGTTTTACAGTTCTCAAAGCTCAGTGCTAGCATTGAGAGAATAACGAGTATTTGACCAATGAGACAGATGGACTAAACAATAACTGTCTGGCCATATCTTGCCCTGTGGCTTGCTTGGTTTGTGGGTTTTTTTTTTTTCCCCCCATGTCAGCAGCAGCACAATTAACTTCCCTAACAGACCATTTTTTGTACAATAGCTTGTATTTCACAAAATAACGTGGAAGCTGTCTCCAGTATGACAAATTTGGATCAAAGAGTTTAATGTTAATTTATACTGAGAGAGATTATTTGTGTAGTCATGGAGAATTAAGCACCTTTCTTCTCTTGCTTCAGGGCTGTTTTGTGAGGACGACGCAGCCTCCTTTTTCTTTTCTTCAGAATCTTTATCAGTTGAAGGTCCATCTGGAAATACAAAACATGAGAAACTCTTTTACCCAGAAATAGTAACCAATTTAAAGCAGTGGCAAAATATCTTTGATGATTTCTCCTGAACCAGTTGGAAATGCTATCAGCTCCCACTCTCTGCTTTGACCTTCTCTTGCAGTACAGCCTTCCACTCCCCAACACAACACCCTCCACAACCCAGAAAATGGAAAATATGACAACATCTCAGATCCTTCGAGTCAAATCCAGCTTCTGCTTAAACTGGCAATGAAGATATGATGAAAACATGGACATTTATGACTTGTTTTTGCCAACACTGCTGCATGAGGTAGACAACTTGTAAACTACTGCATCAAGTCTCTGGAGTTTGTCTTCCATGCTTTAAATGTAAATTCCTAAATACATGCCATTCTTTTTAATTATATTCACAGGACTTCCACCAAAGGACTAAACCAAACAAAACTGTGGTGTGAAAGCTATGATTGTTGCCAAAAAATATAAAGATCATTTTCATACGCTTTTGAAGGAGTTTTCCAGACACAAAGTGTTTTCTGTGATAGCCCTTAAATAATTTGTCATGCTGTTTAAAAATATTTGAATGTCTTCCCCATATAGGCTATGTTTAATGATGATTTTATAAAGAAAAGAGACAAAAGCCTTTATTAAAAAGGGCAATCACAACATTTAACTTTAACCTACCGAGAACACATATACCCTTCTATTGTAAAGAAGAATTCAGAGTGCCTAATTGAAGCTCCTGCTTTGATTTGCTCTCTAGAAAGGCTGACTCCCCACTGCCTACAGAGAGAACCTAGCAAGATTGGCATCACTCACTGACACTTAAGATTTTGTGAATTCCTCTCTCCAAGCCCTTATAAAGCTGCCATTACACTTCTAAATCCATACACTGTATTATTTTGATAAGCATATATTACGAACATTAAAAAGGACTAAAAAAGGTCAAGAAAAGGAGGGAAATCTGAATGCCCTGAACTATGTATCCAAATCCTTCTTTAGGCATCTAAAAGTATCCTCATTTCCCAAAAAGCCCCATTCCCACATTTCTCAGGGGAACTTGGTGGTATGGAACACAAAAATTCATGTCTCTTACTCAAGCACTGAGCTCTTTTTTCCTTTCCTAGAGAGTAGAAAAATTACTGTTCTGGCTTATTTTTAATAGGAACGATTTACATTTAAAGCTACACAGGAAATATATTAAACTGAACAGGATTTTGCTCCATTTCTTAACTTTTAAGGAATTTATCAAATCAATATCACTTCCTTAAAAAAAGCATCATCACCATAGAAGGAGACCAAAGACAGCCATACTGGACAAGACCAAGCAGCCATCTACTATTCATTCTCCAGCTGTACCTAAAAAGAAAAAAAAGATGCCTACCAAACAATAAGAACCAGACCAAGACACAAAGATGCCTCTCCAGAATATTTGCCCAGCCTTCAAGAACTTAAAAGTTTAGTGAGCTCCTCACCCATTGGTTGTAACTTTTTATTCAATTCTTGATAAATTGCTTCATTACAGAAAAAAAGGAAAATTAAACACAATGGCTGATGCACTTGGACCGACTGTCTTTAATAAGATAAAGGTGTTATTAAAAAAATCCTAAAATAAATTTATCAATTATTATTTATAAAAAAGTAATTTCACTAAGAAAGCAAACAAGGCTATAAACTGAATGGATCACAGAAGTTCTTTGCCAGAACACCTGAAACAAACAATACAAGAGAAAGAAAAATCCCATTTTTATTGTGCATATTCACATGACTACTCTATGACAACAAATGTTTACATGATATATAATGTCTAAAAAGATTCTAAGTGTGCATGTAATCTCATTTGCCCTCATTTTTTTTCAATTACATGATCACTTTTGTCGCAGGCTTTAAGACAAACTGATAGATCAAGCAGTTATCTTGGGGTACAGTTCAAGTTCTGCAAATCAGCACAGCTGCCTTAGAGTTGAGCTCTGTTTCAGCCCATTTACCTCCACATTCTTTTCTGGCACACAACTTGTCAAGTTCAGAGCTGACCTGGCTATCTCATGCTTATTTGGCATCAAATACACCACTACTGTATAGCTGCAACATGGTTTTAGTTTATTAAACACTTCCCTTTAGCCCAGCACTATTTCACCAGAGAAGACAGGCACCTGAGAACACCTGCCAATACACTGATTGCTTCTTTCAGTTACAGAGTGCAGGGTATAAGTGAGGCACAGAGATAAAGCAAGAGGTAAAAGCACAGCTCTTCCTACACCTGCAGACCAGTTTATGCAAGTAAGCCAAGGTCAAACTCCAGTGGCTGAGACAACTGGATCATCTTCAGTAAATGTCTTCAAAATGACAATTTCTTTAATCACTTAGAGTTTATATATGCTTTTGTTTAATCCAGTTTCAGAAATCTAAAAATAAAGAATATTTTCTGTTTCTTTGAAATATTCTCTTAAGTCATTCACTCTTATGTATTATAAACTGGAAGGCACCGAGAAGTGATCCAATGTCGAGCAGTATGTATTCTTAAACTCACATATTAGGAAGGATTCCTTACTTTATTAAAATACTGTATTGACAAAAGAACAGAACGCAATTAATAGCCTGCTAGACAGCATTTCAACTACCCTCTGGGGAAAGGAAAAAAAATTATCCTTGAAAAACTAAAAGTTCTTACTAATTAACTTATTTTATATTCAATGGCCAGGCTCTAACACAAAGGAAGAATGACAGCTAATGGGAACTATAACCAATCACAGAAATTCTAATGAAATGGAAAAAAAGGCCCTCTGAAAGATATTTAAAATTTGTAATGAGCAAGTGATTCACATCAGGAAGTCTATAGAACATCATAATATTTGCATAATATAAATTACAATTTGCTTTAAAGGAGTACAATTACTTTCTCAACTTAGTACAGCTATTAAAACTCACCAAAACTTTTTTTCAGAAAGAAATTAAAATTGTCATCAATTTCAGGACTGAAAACTGTAACTTCACAGTTTTAGCTACACAGCTTCAGAAGAAGGCCCTAAAAAAATCGTTAAGATTTTTTTTAAACAATATAAGCTAGTTTATGTTAATGTTTCTTTGAAATACAAAGAACAAGCTAGTAACAGGAATTGACTATTAGCCATTGGAATAAGACTATCTAATTCTGACTACTGCATTGCAGTTTCTATCTGGGACTTGCAATTAATTTGAAAGATACCTCTAACTCTTCCAGTAAAATAATCTATCTGGATAAAACATGACATGACAGTGTCATCCATTACCAGAACAAAGTTTTTAATATAGTAATATATAGCCAGTGATAACATAACTAATACAAATGTTAGAAGCCATTAACAGCTTCATTGTATATTATTTTAATTATATTACAAGACATTTGCAACTAACAAGAAAAAATAGAAAATAAAAAGATTTAGTGTTATTAATTTATGTCTAACTAAGTTTCAAAATTTTTAAAGTAAGTTCTTCAGAAATGTTAATGAGAGGTAGCTAGTTATTCCCTGGAAGCACATGAGAATTTACTTTAGTGGGTTATCATATGTTACCGATTCAGATATTGCCACCAAAACTTGGAAAGTGTCCTGAATATTCAGTTTAAATAAAGAAAAAGTTTAAATAAAGAGATATGAGAACAGGTAACAGATGGCATAGTCATTAATTTAACAATGACCTTCATATTTAATAATTCTTTAGGCCCCATTTTCCAAACCCTGACTGAAATAATCTTGGGATGCACAAGAAGCTACACTTGTCAGCAAGTCCTCTGCAAGACATAATAAAACATGAAGGTAAAATCCAAAAAGCTTTTTCCTAGTAGCAGCATAGGGAGGAATAACATCTAAAATCTATAAACAACAAAATCATAAACTGTGACATTTTAAAAGATTTTATCACAAGTGATGGAAGAGCATAACACTAGCTTCTTTGTTATACATGTTTTTTCTCCTATACAGTATGATACAATTTGCATCATGTATTATTATCTCTCTATTGATAATCCCAACAAATTATAGATCTACTAATAGTACATGGAACAGTTCCAAATACACATTTGACCAGAGGTGATTTCCACAGTTCATACTTAATATGGAAATCAAACTACTGAAATTATTTTTGCACTTGTTTCTACTTGATATCTTAAAGACACATACTCTTATCAATCGTAAACAATACTCTTAAATACAATTAGACTGTAATTTAGGAACTTTTGTCAATAACAATTTTTTGGACAAGACCAATAGGTTACTAGATGGATGTCCTTGAACAACTTTACCTAATGACACTGTTAACGTACCTGTAAGATAGTGCTAGACTGTGCCAGCTTGCTCCAACAGAATCAAACCCAGGTTCAAAATAACAAAGGATAGTATGAACAAAGTGATCAGAGTAGAACACTTCCGTTAAGTTCGGCTGGTGTTACCATCTCTTGACAATATTAAGTACTTAAATATTGTTTAAAAATAAAATTACTCAGACATGCACTTTTTTGAAATAGGCATTTCAAATGTTCATGGACCTGTTCTTGGTTTTTAATACTGGCAACAGATTATCACACTTGCACTTGATGTTAATACTATCATCCAGTCATTCTGCACTTCCAGTTCAGTACATAAACTTACTAGAGCTAAGTATAGAGGTCTGGACGTTCTTTTTCACTGTATACTCTTAGAGTTCAGTAAGTATTGTGATGGCAAACGTTAAATTCCTTACAGAATTTGTTGTTTTTAATATAAAGGAACACTCCTCATAACCTAAATGGGTATGCATAGGTTCATTATCTTCATAGCATACTCTGTATACTCAGCTACTTGGCAAAACAATCATTATTTCCAAATCCCGTATTATAACTGAAGAGTATTTTATTCCGAGGCCCAAATTTGCTTCTGTATGTAAATTGTGACCAACTCAGCTGTGTGGTTTAACATTCTTTCAGCAACATCTGAAAGCAGTCTTACACTGTAGCTCACTCAGCACTCAAGTCCTTTGCTGGGCAGCTTCCAACCCCCCCTGAAAAGCCACTGGTAACCTAGCATGGCTATAAAAGCCATAAACATCTAAGGATTCACAACCTTACTTTGATTTCTTCTCATGTTTCCCATACATTCTTAAAAGATAAGTTCCAATAGCACTGAACTTAAATAGTACATGCAGCCTGAACAGTCAAGAAAACTTGCCTAAATTCAAAATGTCATTTATAAAAATAACTCACAAAGACTTCAGCTCTCTGAGTACAATGCTTGGTACGATTAACAGCTGTCCGCTTCTGTTGCCATCTTTGATCCATACCATTTTACATGCACTATAAACAGCATAATCGAAACTGATTTCTCAAGCAGCTCAACATATGGTATTTCGTATTCTTCTGAGAAAGTCAAAACTAATGATAAAACAGAATAAGAGTACTTTGTAAGATTCCCACCCATATTTCACACAGCCCAGATACCCTATCTTCCACAATTACAAGATTTTAAGTTCTAATGAATTACTAAGCAGTGAAATGAGAAGTGAAACATCTGCCCTAGTATGATTTATTACAAGGTTTACATTACAATCAAGGAGAATTTAACCACTTAAAAGTTTTGAATACAAACAGTGCTGTATTTTCAGGAATAATTTGATTTTATGTAAGTGCACAACCACAACTATACGAGACCTGGGACAATAATGTGCATGCAATGTCTGCCCTGTAATAAAAATTACTGCATGAACAAAGGTCACATATCACTGCCTCAAGAAGGAAGTATTCAATTACGCTAATGTCAAATACATGCTATCTACTTTCCAGTTCCTTACATTTGACTTCACCTGAGGCAAGCAGCCTCAGGTAGATTCTCTGAACTGTCTGAAAACAATCTGAATGTAGCAAGCCATCAAAAGGGGAAGATCCACCATGCTCCAGCTGTACATTACTGCATCAATTTCTGTGCAGGGAACAGTAACTACAAACAGGCTGGACCAAAGAACTGACAAAGCTGAAATTTAAACCAGAAATGAACAAAAGAAATACTTTCCAGCTCTGGTTGCCTGGATAACCACTTGAGCACGAGCTGCAGCACAGGAGGGAGGAAGGAGGCACCTGTGCAGAAGGGAAGCCAGGACCACCCCTTTCAGCAGCACCCTACACTCAGATTGACCTGCCATGACCATCAGGCACTACAGACTTATTCCAGACTTCTACAGCATGAACACTGTCTGGTCCTCAGGTAGAAATAATACTCCTTATGTTTCACAGTGTTTGAACACTTAAAGATCAGTCAGCTATAAGTAACAACATAGTAAGGCAAGAGCTATAACTAACAACATAGTAAGGCAAGAGCTGTAAGTAACAGCATAGTAAGGCAAGTTTGACTGACAAGATACTGTGTTAAAAAGAAGACAGAAAACTATTTTTACTGTCTTAACAAATAACAATTCCTTTGCTCAAAGGACAGCAATATATAGAAGGGTCAGGCTCCTCCCCAGAAAAAGCAGCATCTGAAGGCACTTGCAAAATTTGAGAATTCTGTAGGAAAAAGGAGTATTTCTTCTACTTTGTTGCCTGGATTAAGTTGCAGTATCAAAAATCTGAACTTTAGAAAAAAAAAACCCTCTGATAGTTCTTTTAAAAAAAAAATTTAGATAATAACGTGAGAGTTAAATCACTCAATCCTGCTGCTGCTTTTAGAAGTCTTCAGAGTAACTCAATATGCAAGTTGATTTCTCCACTTCTGTATCTTATCACTTTTATGCATTGGATACAACACAGCTGGACTTAAAAGTTCTAAGTGGAAATTTAAACATAAACAATACATGTTTTTCACTATTTATCAGTGAAGTCCAATCAGAACTTTTACAAAGCAAGCATGTAATTTATAAATCAATATCATGATTTTAAAAGTATTTTTATCAGCATATCTACCTAAATTTAATCCCTAAAACTAACCTAATTAGTATTATCTATTTTTTTTTTATAGGTAGGTTAAAGAAATACGTCTGCTGTAAAGGTTGTTGCTTCTTACTAGAAGTTAAAAGCTGTGACAAATTTTCAATGTCCACATAAATGTACTGTCAGATGGATACAAAGTAATTTCTACACTATCTACAAGAAAGTAAAGTATCTGATAAAATACTTCATGATTAATAAAAATGAGGCTGACTTCAAATGCCAGAGGACTTGAACACCTCCTGGCAGTCAGCATATTTTTCTAGACAGAATGGCAAATACTTAATTCAGTAGAAAATGAACCATTTTCCATTTCAAAACGTTAAGCTTCCTGAATTTTTACGTTACATAAAGTTAGATACAGAGAAACAAAACAGAGTACAATACAGCTTATGAACAAAAATACCTGAACACAGTTTGAGATTTTAGTGTTTTCAAATACATTAAAGTTAGGTATTACAAAATACTCTTGAATAAAACCCTGCTAACAGAAAGGTTTCGTTAACTGTACTCACTGCTGTAAGGGAAATTAAAAAGTATTAACTCAATAATTAGCAAGTTGTTTAAAATTATGAAGGTTTTAGAAAGCACAGATCTACTTCTCAGTACTTTTAAGTTCTAACAGATTTTTAATGTCAATTTTTTATTGTTTTTTCTATCCACAAATCACTTTATAACCAAACTTCAAAGCCTCCACACTACATGAGATTTTGCACAAGTTCTTCAGAGTGCCTGTTATATCTGACAAAGGAAACAGTCAAGAACAGGTTCGTTAGTGCTTAGTACTGCAGTACAGTCACTCCAGCTCAACAGCAGGCAGTAAGACTTCAGAAATGAGTCATGTCACAGAAGCTGGCTTCCTACTGCTTGCCAGACCCAGTAAAAATAAAACTTTTTCTCTGAACACACTTCCACAGCAATGCACTGGTGATAGTCAAAAACAACTACTTCAGTGCAGAAAGTTTCAATACTTAGAGGAGCAGAAATACATCAAAAGGAAGGCGGTGTCAAGAATTTGCATCAAAATTGTGTAGAGTTTAAACATGCAAGAGCAGGGAAAGAAACTTTATGTCTTCATACCTAACAGTTTCTTCCAAGACTTGATAAGAGATTTTGCTAAAGATGTAACTTCTTCATCTGTGCTTTGCTTGCGTATCGCATTCACTGACATTCCAATTCTGGTAGACTGCAAGGGAAATAAAAATGTACACTATAGAAGGTGACATGAAGACAATTTAACAAGTAAACATATATAAAATTGTACTTTGACATTGTTTTTTTAAGAAGTATCTTTTTTTTTCCTCTTCAGTTTTTGGGGGAGGGGGGAGATTAAGAATACTAGGGTGTAACGCTGCAAGCCTTTACAAAACTTACTTTGACATGGACGGTTAGAAAGAACTACAACAGTATTACCATTTCTCTCCATCACAGAATCGGGGGGGCGGGGCAGCACATAGGCAGTCAGGAGTGTTAAGAGGAGTCAATTGGAAGATTTTTGCTCAAAAAGCATTTCAAAAAGTTCTGCAAAACTACTTACCTAAACTAAGTACAACACTCAAAACATCTCACAACGTGAAAATGACATACATCTTAATTTTATATACAGTTTTTAAAAAAGGTTCTAGCCTCAAACCCTTTTTTTTCTGTGAAGTAATGACAACACTTAATATTTTGGCGTGATCAGAAGCTTGCCAACTGCTTCAGTGACTTCATACTCTTAGAATTCCTGTTTAGTGGCTATGGAAGAAGCTGTAATATCAGTTGGGAGCAATCACGTTTTAGGTGCCTAATAATTCTGGCAATACTGAGATTTTTTAAAATCTTAAGCACATAGTGTTCTGCTTTTAGATAGAAACAATAAAACTAGGCTACCTCTCTGAAAAGGCCAAGATAGTAACAGGGTTTAAACCTTTGGCGCTACTGCCACCTATAGACTGAAAAGGAGATTAATTTACAATTCACTCCTTTTAAGACTAAGGGAGATGGAGTATGTAAATTTAGCTCAAGAGAACAGAAGTTTCATTTTAGAAGACTACTAACATGTTAATCTAACAAGTAGAACATTTCCACACTTTTAGTTTCACAAGAGGAAAAAGGGTTTAACAATACAAATTAGTAATTTATTATCATTTTGTATTTTGATTGATGACATTTTTTAAATTGTTCTTAAAATGCCCAATTTTGTTGCATTTTCTATTTATGGGACTCACTAACAAATTATTCTACTTACTTTTACAGTAGTTCATCGTCAATTTCCTTCTCCTTTAAAGGAAAATTTAAATCTTTGTGGCTCACTAAAAATGGAAATGATTTGTTCCTGTAAATTACTCCTCACAACCCACACAACACTTTTTGGGGCACCATGTATGTGCTAAATGACTGGAAATGTACTGAAATATTCAGTAGCTATTTCAGCAAAGGAAACACATCAAATAACTTCAGGTCTGAGCATCAGCTCTACAGACATATTTTGGATTAAAACAGATGGCTACTCACCTGTAACTAAAGTGTTTTGAGATGGACTCTGCTCACTCAGATTGGCCACCTCTCTTGACATTTTTAAAACATACCCTCAACATTATGTTCAGATAAGAAAGAATAACACATGCTTGGAACTCCATAAAATACTCACCATGCCTGAATGAGAAAAAAGGATCTACAAAAAACCCAACTCTCCATTGATAACTGGGCACAACCATAGCCTACTCTCATCACCAAAAAGACACCACCTTACAGACTTACTTGGGTAAGTAGAACACAAAAGCTCAAGTAAAACTCGAAATTAATTGGATAAATTAATTTCTTCTTCTGATCATACACGAGAAACAGATTATGGTAGCTATCTAAACTGCCAGCTTTCTTTAGACAATACATAAACATAGTTAATTTGTTTGCTTTATAAAGCACTTGATCTGGCCTCACCTGAAGAGAGGTCAGTTTATTTGTCTACAAGACGACACAGGTAATCACAAAAGATCAGAGTTATATTCTCAAAATTACTGTGATTTAATCACAAACCAGCTGTCAGCATTTGAAATTTCCTCAGTCTGTTCTCATGAGAACCATTTTCAGTGGAAAAACTCCAGTGTTTTTGCCTAGCCCGGTGTAACCTGTGGAATTGCTTTATATCTGTGCCACTCCACATGTGTGCAGGTGTATGAAAACCTTCCTCAAACTGTCCAAAATGCCATTTTTAATGGATTCTTCCTCCCAACTTCAAATTCTAGAGCACTTTTAATCTGCTTTCTGAGAGTAATGAGGCTCAGAGAGAGTGTAAAACGGTTGTTTCCACTCGAGGCATTCAAGCTGTAGGCCAAGCAGCCTTCAGTTGATATGAGCAACTGTTAGCATAAGTAACCTATGACTGAACCTGAAACAAAGCATATAGTAGCATATGTGTGTGCTGCGATCAGCTGGATGACCTGCTCAGCCTAGTGGCAGAACTCAAAGAAGAGGTTGAGAGATTAAGAAGTATTAGGGAGTGTGAATGGGAAATTGACTGGTGGAGTAACACCCTTGAACCCCTGAATCAACAGGAGATAATGGAAGCTCCAAAAGAGGCAGACAATCCTTCATCCTCTTGCTATCAGGCAGAAGGAGGGGCCCTAAGAGACGAGAGAGGCTGGAAACGGGTCCCTGCTCGGGAAGGCAGGAAAATCCTCTCCCCACCTCCCTCACCCTCCATGGTGCCCCTTCACAATAGATTTGGGGCCCTGGAACTTTTGAACAAAGAGAAGGAGGAAGAAAATGAGACAAACAAAGACGACCAAGGTCCACCAAGGCCAGGTCACTTCAGACCAGGTATTAAAACCAGCTCTGAAAAGAACCCCAGAAGAGTCATTGTAGTGGGTGACTCCACTCTAAGGGGTGTCGAAGGCCCCATATGCAGACCAGATCTGCTTCATAGGTAAGTCTGCTGCCTCCATGGGCCCCGCATCAAGGACACAGCAACACTCCCTACCCTAGTGAGACCAAAGGATTACTACCCTCTCCTGTTTTTTCAGGCAGGTAGTGATGACATCACCAGGAGAAGGCCTAAAGCAATGAAGAGAGACTTCAGGTCCTTGGGAAAACTGCTTAAGGGGTCAGGGGCACAAATTGTGTTCTCCTTCATCGCTTTGGTTGGGGGGATGGATGAGGAAGATTACAGGAGAATTCAGCAGATGAATGGGTGGCTCCAAGACCAGTGTTACCATCAGGGCTTTGGATTCTTCAATCATGGGTTGGTATACAGGGCACCTGATCTTTTGACATTAGACGGGATGCACCTGTCCCGGAGAGGGAAGGGGATTTTGGGGCAGGAGTTAACTGGGCTCATAGACAGAGCTTTAAACTACATTTGAAGGGGGAAAGGGGCAAAGCATCGGCCCATCTGAAGTGCATGTATACAGATGCACACAGCATGGGTAACAAACAGGAGGAGCTTGTAGCCATGATGAAACAGGAAAATTATGATGTTGTTGCTATTACAGAAACACGGTGGGATGTCTGCCATGACTGGAGTGTGCCAACTGATGGCTACAAGCTCTTTAGGAGGGACAGACAGGGAAGCAGAGGTGGTGGGGTGGCGCTGTATGTTAAGGACTGTTATGATTGCTTCGAGCACAAGTGTAGTGAAGACAGGGTTGAGTGTCTTTGCATTAGAATCAAGGGGAAGACCAACAGGGCAGATGTTGTAGTAGGAGTCTACTATAGGCCACCCACCCAGGACAGAGAGGTGGATGAGATATTTTATAGGCACTTAGGTGGAATCTCACTTGCCCTTGTTCTTGTGGGAGACTTTAGCTTCCCAGACATCTGCTGGAAATACAACACAGCAGGACAAGACCAGTACCAGAGATTCCTAGAATGTGTGGGAGACAACTTCCTGACGCAGCTGGTGAGTAAACCGACCAGAGAAGGTGCCCTGCAGGATCTCCTCTTTGTGAGCAAAGAAGGGCTGCTGGACAATGTGGAGGTTGGAGGCCGACTAGGGCACAGCGATCATGAAATAGAGTTCTCTATTCTCAGAGAGGTCAGGAAAGAGCTAAGCAGGACGGACATCCTGGACTTCAGAAGGGCTGACTTTGTCTTGTTTAGGCACCTGCTTGAAAGGATCCCTGGGGAGACAGTCCTGAAGGGTATAGGGGCCCAGGAAGGCTGGGTGCTCTTTAAGAAGGAAGTGTTAATGGCTCAGGAGCAGATGGTCCCCAGGTGCTCTAAGAGAAGCTGACACCAGAGAAGACCACCCTGGCTGAACAGGGAGTTTTGGCTACAACTCAAGGAGAAAAGGAGAGTTTACAGCCTTTGGAAGAAGGGGCTAGCCACACACAGTGATTGCAGAGAGACTGTGAGGCTACGCAGGGTGGAAATCAGAAGGGCTAAAGCCCAACTGGAAATTAATATGGCCTCTGTAATCAAGGATAACAAGAAAAGTTTATGTCAGTAGCAAAAGAAAGTTCAGGGGATGGAGCCCCTGCTAGATGCAGGAGGAAATTTGGTAACAAGTGATGAGGAGAAGTCTCAGGTGTTTAATGCCTTCTTTGCCTCAGTCTTTAATAGCAAGGTTAGTTGTATTGATGAAATCCAGCCTCCTCAGCCAGAATACAGAGACTGGGAGAACGACCCCCTGCAATCCAGGAGACAGTCAGTGCCCTGCTGCATCACATAGACATACACAAGTCTATGGGACCAGACGGGATACACCCGAGGGTGCTGAAGGAGCTGTCTGGGGTGTCAGGCCACTTTCCATCATTTACCAGCAGTCCCGGCTGAGCGGGGAGGTCCCAACTGACTGGAAATTGACCAATGTGATGCCCATATATAAGAAGGGTCAGAAGAATGATCCAGGAAATTACAGGCCTGTCAGCATGACTTCGATGCCCAGGAAGCTGATGGAGCTAAACACCATCATGCAGCACATGAGGGACAACCAGATGCTCAGGCACAGTCAGCATGGGTTTATGAAAGGCAGGTCCTGCCTGACAAACCTGATCTCCTTCTATGACAGAGCAACCTGCTCATTGGATGAGGGAAAGACTGTGGATGTAATTTACCTTGACTTTAGCAAAGCTTTTGACACCATTTCCCACAGCATTCTCCTAGCAAAAATGACTGCTCGAGGTTTGGACAATCGCACGCTTCACTGGGTTAAAAACTGGCTGGATGACTGGGCCCAGAGACTTGTGGTAAATGTAATTAAATCCAGCTGGCAGCCGGTCACAAGTGGTGTCCCCCAGGGCTCGGTTCTGGGGCCACTCCTGTTTAACATCCTTATTGATGATCTAGACAAGGGGATCAAGTGCACCCTCAGTCAGTTTGTAGGTGACACCAAGTTGGGTGGGAGTGTTGATCTGCTCGAGGGCAGGGAGTCTCTGAAGAGAGACCTGGACAGGCTGGAGCCATGGGCCGAGGCCAACTGGAGGAGTTTCAATAAGTCCAAATGCCGGGGGCTGCCCTTGGGCCACAACAAACCCCAGCAGCGCTACAGGCTTGGGGAGGAGTGGCTGGAGAGCTGCCAGTCAGAGAGGGACCTAGGGGTATTGATTGACAGCCAGCTGAACAGGAGCCAGCAGTGTGTCCAGGGGGCCAAGAAGGCCAATGGCATCCTGGCTTGTGTCAGCAATAGCGTGGCCAGCAGGGACAGGGAAGGGATCTGACCCCTGTACTCGGCACTGGTGAAGCCGCACCTCGATTCCTGTGTTCAGTTTTGGGCCCCTCACTACAAAAAGGACATTGAATGACTCAAGCGTGTCCAGAGAAGGGCAACAAAGCTGGTGCAGGGTCTGGAGCACAGGTCATATGAGGAGCGGCTGAGGGAACTGGGGTGTTTAGTCTGGAGAAGAGGAGGCTGAGGGGAGACCTCATCGCCCTCTGCAGCTACCTGAAAGGAGGCTGCAGAGAACTGGGTTTGAGCCTCTTTAGACTAGTAGAAAGCAATAGGACAAGAAGGAATAGCCTCAAGTTGCGCCAGGGAAAGTTCAAACTAGATACTAGGAAGCATTTCTTTCCAGAACGGGTTATTAGGCATTGGAATGGGCTGCCCAGGGAGGTAGTGGAGTGTCCATCCCTGGAGGTGTTCAAGGGTAGGGTCGATTTGGAGCTTAAGGATATGCTGTAGGTGGGAACTGTGCTAGGTGAACGGTTGGACTAGATGATCTCCAGGGCCCTTTCCAACCTAGACGATTCTGTGATATGGTGATCTCCAAGCCAGACCAAATGAGAAAACATAAGGAACACAGTCCAGAAAGAAAAGTAACCACTAAAGCAAGCAGAGGTGTTACCAACTTCAAACTGTAAGAGAATATGAGGACAGCAAATTGGTGAGCACCTGGATCAAAGCAGAGCCAAACCAAACCCCTGAATAACTACCTTCAGGTTCTAAGGTCTCCCTGGCTCGCCAATGAACTGGCAAGAAGTCATTAACACAGACTGTACACCACAGCCTAGTTCCACAGTGTGTGTAATTCCCAGTAAAACCTGTTCATTAAAATAAAGACTGTCTCTCTTGCTCTTTAGCTGTGTGCTACCCACAATTAGCACCACAGATATGATGCCTTTAATACTGAGTGGTTGCTAAACAGATTTGCAATTCTGACCACCAGATAAATCACGTGTGAGGAAGGCTACTGGCTCCCTGCCTAGCTGAGCAAGGATCAGCTTGCTTCCATAAAACTTGCTAGATATGACAGTTGTATTATTGTCTGTAACCACTTCAAGCTTTCTCTGACCAAAAAAAAAAAAAAAAAAAAAAAAAAAAAAAAAAAAAAAAAAAGGTGAAAACCATACAAGCACAAGTCCAAACTACTAACGCTCTCTCTTTCCTATTCCACATACCTGTAAAATTTTTCAGGGGACCTCACCGGCTCAGACTGAAGCAACAGTCATGTTACAGGAAAAATTGTCATTTCTCTTTAATGGAACAATCATATCAGCTAACAGTGCTTTTCTTAACGTAGCCAGCTTTTAAAACTGCTTAAACATGGGTGTGGACATACGCTTTTCACTTGTGTCCTGTGTTTCATCAGTTGAAACACATCAATAGATACCTCAATCTACACAGAGGGAGTTAGTGCTCCCACTTTCTCCTGATCATCACCCTTTTTGACATAAGCACACTAATGATCTAGTACCAGAGCAATGCATATGATTACTTTGCATTTCAACTGTTCTCCAAGTCCTCCATTGCTTAAGCAATGAGGCTAACAGAAAATTTATGGCAGACTTTACCTATTTATAAGGCTCTCAACAAATATAATGTAAATTTGAGTCTAAACGTGGTGCTAAATGCAACCTTATGCAATTGAACTGTTTTGAATCAGCAGTGGATATTTAAGAAAAACGTCTTAACTAATCTACAGTCAATCTGCTATGCAAGAGTACACCAAAATACCAGATCCCTTTAGACCTACTGTAACACAGATAATTCTTCTTTACAAACTCATACAGTGCCCACACCAATACAGATTAAAACCAATCTTTTACTGGAAATATTATTTCACTCTAAGTACAGGCACCCATCATATGGATGAGAATAAATACACTTCTTTCAAGTAGGATAGAAAACTGGACAGAATTAATATGCAACCCTATTATAGATTAAGTCAGAATTACACAAGTGCCCAAAAATGCAGAGAGCTGAGTTTGTACTTAGCAAGATTAAGAGTCCTTCTCTATTGATAACTTCATTAAGGTTTTTGTTGCAACTAGGAAAATAATGTTATCTACTTGTACATTCTCCAAATCCTCACAGTTGAAGGCTAAAATTGTTTTGCTCTTCTCTGTAAAACTTCTTCTAATCTCATTCTTCTCACTAAGCAGAACAGGTTTGCATAGCAGCATTTATAGAATTTCTAGAGCACAGGCAGATATATTTTTTATTCCAAAGGCAAAAAACATTATGGCACAAATACTCTGTATTAAGACCTGCACAAAGAAACTCAGAAGAATCAGGTTAACAGAGGGTTTTTCTGGATGTTGTTTTTGTTTTGTGTGGGGCTTGAAGAGAGGTTTTGGTTCAGGCTTTTTTTTAAGGAAGGAGGTTGGACATAGGGGAGAAGGTTGCAGCATCAAATCAGCCATGCTCATTCATGCATTAAGGTAACACTTTCAAAATCCTGTTTTCTGTCACAAACAGTATTAGCAATAACATAGCACATACATTCTGCAAATATTTAGGATGCATACATCAAGAATGACATTTCTACTGACACTTAAGATTTGAACTTTATAGCTAATTCTGTATGACCATTAATTGTCACTTTGAAAAAAGTTACTTTTCAGTCTCTTCCAATTTAAGTGGCTATCAGAGCAAATCAGGTCTTACATTTACTTCTGCCATTTGAAAATTTTCAGAGATAGGAAATAACTAGCTATTTTGGAACAAAAGTTGTTCATCGAGGAATTACATGATAAACTCTATGTTAGAGATGTAGAGACAAGTAAAATTAGAGAAAGCATGCATGCAAGTGAGAAAGATTGTATCACAACATCACTTCTGTCCAGGGGAGTAAATGTTGAGGAAGAGTACAATTACCTCAAGAAATTCACTACTCGGAGTTACAGGGGTGGGGGGTGGGGGAAGGAAATTGTCAAATACAACTCACCTGAAGGTATGAACTATGCTACTCCTCACTTAATCCCAAACCAGAACTAACTACATAAGAAAGTATTAGCAGTAACTGGGTGCGTTCTCCTTTAGAAGGAAGGAAACGCATCACATTTGTGTTAGTAAGAACCTAAGACTGTATGTAAGGTAAGTTTATAAGCAGGTCTTCCCCTTCGTCCACAACAAAATTCACTATTTTCAACTTAGAAAGCTAAGCTTTAAGAGCTAGCTACTGGAAGAAAACACTTAAGATAAGTGACCTAAATCAAAGTGAAATAAGATTAGTTACCCTATAATAACACTGATTCTTACAAGGAGTTTCTACATAGGGATCTACTTTAATAGTGCAATTGCATTCCAAATTTGCTGGCTTCACTTTCATCATTATGAAGTTAATATTTGCAATATAACAACAATAAGAAAATCGTACCTGTAACAATTCAAGGGTCATGGGAATATTCTTAAGCTCCTTCAATAAATCAAGAGCTCCAGCCTGCAAAAAAAGAAAAAAAGGAAAAGTAAATTTAGTGGCAATTGGATACTTTAAATACAATACCAATATAATCCCAGACTGGATTCAAACCATCAGTTCCCAGTTTATCTACAGAACAACTCTAGCACAGGGAATGTTCTGCTTCACAAACTCTAAGCATTAACAGGCCTTAACTCAGAAATCAAAGTATTCACTCAGACTAGAGAAGTTCTATTCCATATAATTCAAATGCCAGTTAAAACATTCTGTCAATTACTACTTCACCAACACACATCCTCATGAAAACAGTCTCAAAGGTACTTCACTTAACAGCAGCAGAAACAAGCCAGACAACAGCAGTAATTTTCAGTTCAGAACTTCACCTGTTTTATCACAAGAACCTGAAGCTGAGAAGCTCTGCGTACTCCATGCAGCACATATAACTATATATATAAAACATAAATAGCCAACATTCTTAACTGTATTTGCAGTGGTGTGGTAAAACAAGTTTAGTGGTTTAAAAACTGTAATCAGATTACACTGTTTTACTAGACACAACTACAGTTTCCCCAGCAGAAAAAACAACTTAGTGTGTCTACCAACAAACACTCAAATAAAAAAAGTTGAGCAAGATCTGCTTTCAAGTCTTATTTTCAACTATTAAGTTTAAATATTAATTCAATGAAATACATAGATCAGGTTGCACAGATTAGTGTGGACACTCTTCAGCCTATACCAGACTGGCGAAGCATCGACACGTTCCAAACTAGAAGCCAGAGCCCATCCTAATGTGCTGTAACATCTGGGCTAATATATCTGTTCTATTCAGCTGTCATGGGTTTTTCTTTTTGCCTTTTCCCCTCCTAAGACCATAAGGAAAGGTACAAAAGAATACTGTGTAAACAGCAACTCTCTAGATAGATGAGTCAATTTTCAGAGATTGTACCGTTAATAAACTCTACATACAGCTACCCTAACTAACAATTCATTCCTTAGCAATGCTGCCCTTAAAGTTTTCATAAATGTGAGCTCCATAACTTACTTTAACCTCTACATTCTTGGATGATTTACCACCTCTACTTCAGCAAAGCTCTGCACCATCCACTTCTTACTGTGCAGACTACAGCAGCTTCCTAAAGGCTGAGATGATTTTGCTGTCTTTCAAATGCACATGGTTCTGAATTTGTGACCTATGAACAGCAAGGCACCAACTGCCTTCACATATGAGGCCACTCTACCCAGGCTAAGACCATTACCTTCCCACTTTCTTGATTCATAATTTTTTTTTCATTTGGAAATACACCCCACAAAATTTCCGTCTTGCTAATCTTTGCAATTTGACTACTTTTTCTTTCCTTACCTCTTTCTCAACCCATTCAATTTTGTTTAATGTGTTTTGCTTGCCCTCAGTTTTAAATTCTCCCTAATCAACTTCTAACATGACACCTGTTGGAAGGAAACTCTTGTAATCTCCTGCTGCATCTGCAGGTCTTACAATTTAACCACTGAAGATAGCACATAAAATAACCACCAAGAGGCTAAGATGAAAGTGGAACTTCTGTGTCACATCCAAACAGACACAGCTTTGGACACTTGCAAATCTGCTACAACCTCCATTTTTTAAAACAGATCTGATAGCAAAGAAATCTCTGAAAATAAACATTTCACTATGTCCCACATCTTACACAAACACGATTCACTTATAAAACTAAAGTTTTATTATTTTGTCATCATAGCAAAAAGCCTTATTTAACTTTTATTCATGATACACAAAACTTCTCCGGTTTTAATTTTAGTAGCAGTGATGCAAGACTGAGAAATGTCATGCTGTTTTCAGGTGCTAAATTGAGTTATCACACTAAACCATTTATTTCTCTAAAGTCATAAGCATGATTTCTTCTGTGAACACACAGATCTAAGTAAAGCAAGTTAACTATCTCCACTGCTACAAAACAAAATCAAATTCAATAACATCTTCTTAGCCAAACCAAAACAAATGACAAAATTACAATCCAGTAACACTTACCTCCAAACCAGTTATTACCAACTGTACACAGCATGATTTAAAAATACAGATTACTGTAGTATGCAATTTCAGCATACCAATGATACTTTAATGCAAAGTACCACTCTTCATCTCATCTTAGAAATAGTCTAGTCAAAACTTCTTTGCTTCTAAAATCCCTTTCTAATTGTACATGTCAGAACAACTGTATTATTCCCAGTCTACACATTTCCGAAAACTAGTAACTTGATATATAGGAGGTTAACAAACCATGCAACAAGTAAAAAAACCCAGGTACTCACTACACAAATGTTACCTACATTTCACAGATTTCTGTACCAAATTACCAACATTTCTAATGCACTAATGCTTTCTAAGCCTTCACTCTTCTCTAACCAATTATATTAAGTGTACCAAGAAGTAGAAGCCTTAAATTAAAATTGAGTTTGAACTCACAGTAACTAAACAGTTTTTCATAACCACTTTTCTTAGTATAAAATCAAATGCCCTTCTTTCCTCAAAATCGGAGTGGAATTTGCACAGTAAAACTTGTAGTTCCTATTTTTCTAACGTAAGAGTTCTCCATTTAAAAAAAAAAAAACAAAAAACAACAACAACAAAAAACAAACAACAGACATTAAGAACATTATTTTAAATCTTCTTTTAAAGGCACTTCTATAATTTTATAGAAAATGAATGGCAACGCCCCGTTCCACTAGGCTTGTTTGCATCCACTTTACCTTGTTACTTGAATTAGCAGGTCAGCTTCATACAGATTTAGTAGACTACTCCTCTCAGCTTTCTCTCAGTTGATCAGATCGTTAACACCAGAATGATATTCTATATTCATATTTTAAAGCTATGCTTCAGATGATAGACAAAGGAGTACATTTCTGAAGACTGCAGAACTAACCAGTTAGAATTCTGTTCTACTTAAGGGAACAAACATTTAATAACATGGACAGTTTTAGAACTTCTTCACTAAACTTACTCAACTGTAATTGATTCTTTTAAATCCATGAATGCAACCTCATTTTTCATACCTTAATGAAAAAAAAAAAGTGTCTTTACACACAACAAAAGCTATATGGAAGGCACTACATGTGTTCTAATCCAATCAGTTATTCTGAAGGAGTAACAACTATTTCAAACATGCAACCAATATTAGAAGTAAAAAAAGAAATATGTATATCACAGTATAATAAATACAACGTTGCATTACTATTTCGTCCTTCAAAACAAAAGAACTGCATACATCACTCCACTAAAATAGTTATGAAACCTGCACAGCTACAATTAAATCTTTAGTCAGGGCAAATCACCAAGAGTCTGACTCAGGAAGGGTGTCTGCACAGCCTGCCTTTTCAACTCTTCAAAAGAAACGCCAAACAGCACTTTGCCCCAAGCCACAGAGTCACCTTTTATATGAGGGATGAAGCATCTCTTGCCATCTGAGTCTTGACAACTTCAGAGTGAAAAGGTATCAAAGCTTTTTTTTTTTTCTTCCTCTTTTAGTGATGGGTTTCATCAAATCATTCTCATTCAAAGACATACATCAAATACCTGTTCTTGTTGAGTATAAATGAAAAATGAATACAAGAGGTGGTCAGGAACATCATTATCCAGCAGGTACTTATGTAAGAATGCATTTCTCAATTCAGTTTCATCTTTGGGAGACAATGAAGTATCTCTTCATAGAGATGATCTTAATTTTGCTAAAGTTAGCATTTTAACTGCAGGGCAGGATTAAGAAGGAAATCACATTGTGCAATTAAAGAAGAAATACCTTATGAATGACAAAGGATAGTAAGAAAAACACAGAGACTATCCTGGGTTAAATAGTGATGTGCTTCCTCTCCTATCATACAACTAAGGGTTTTATCATGGTACACACATGCACTTTGGATAAACTGTCAGATCTCCACTACTGGCCACAGAGGCAGCTCAAGCCCTCAGCCTTAGGTTTTTGAGACTGCGTCAAACTAACAACAGAGCCACTCGTGTGCAGTAACGAGCTGGAACAAACAAGCTCTTCTCTGACAAAGTACCAAAACACAACTGCTGCTGCCCAGACTCTAGTTCCTGGGGCAGGGGTGAAGATGAAGAGCCAGCCACTGGCTCCAGCCAGGCACAGCCCAGCCCGGCTGTGTACGCTGCCTTTGGCCACATCAGACCTATGCTGACCCCAGCAAAGACACTGCACTGCTCCCTAAAGCTTTGAAAGTCAATGAGGTTACACATGCTAGAGTGTGAATACACGTGCCCAGCTGCTGCAAGGTACTACATCTAAACTCCTAAGCCTCCCAGATCACAGAGAAATACGCTGTGGTCACCAGGATCATCTCTGGCATGGCTGCAGCACAACTCCCCAGCACCAACACTAGTTCCCGTATTACCTGGGAGTTGCTTACTTTCTTTCTACTCCCAGAAGTCTTCCAAATAAAATGTAATTGACTGCACTTGATCATTCTCATTACCACAATATTTAAACATTTCACACTATGTTTTCACTCTTTCAACATCTCGTAGGAAAGAGCCACTACTTCAACTTTAGAGTCAGGAAAGTGAAACTGAACTTTGTGCTGAAAAGCATGGGGAATAGAAATAAAAAGAGGGGGGAAAAAGAGGAAAAAAATAATCAAAAGAGTAAACGCTGGTTGTAACAAATTCTTCCCACTAGACAAGGGTCCTGCCTCCGCAGTGTATCATTACAGGGTTCAAATATATCAGAGCTAAACAATACAATATCATGGAACATCCAAGAATTCTGAAACACAGCAAAGCATGGTCTTTGTGGACTTGAGATTAATTTGTCTGGATTTCTAAGGAAACAAATTTAATTTGTTTAATGCAATTGCTATTTCTATAAATATGAAAATCTTAAAAATGTTATTTATCATTTCCATTGTCTTAAACAGCAATAAAGACTTCTAAAAACTGACATTCCACACCACTCAGTTCTGAACTATCACTAATATCAAGTGTTTAATGCACTATCAAAACATACAGAAAAAACCCTTAGCTTTA